TGTCAAAAGAACTTCTGTTTCTCCAGCTGACATATTCAGATTGCTTTAATTGGTCTTTCTGCAGAAGCCCAATCCAGGGTCAGTATTTTGGGAAGCTTGGCCTTTTTCAGCATCACAGCTGTTCAATTGAAAGTACATTCCCACAAAGGTCTTGTACACTGGGCATACTCAGTTGTTTCCTCATGAAAAACTGGAGGTTTTTCAAATGTTTCATGTGACAGGTAGTTTTTGAATATCATTAATTGGCAACATAAGTCACAATTTGTTTGCTAATACTGTTTTGCAAATCCTTTCACATAAGGGACTATTAAACACTTCTATGGTTGCAAAGGAGGAAGAGCTGATTCTAGTCCAGGGGTTCTTGCTTTATTCTGATTGTTGGGGTGGGTTGTGGTCTTCTGTCCTCACGACACAGCACATATTCACTGAACTGGGAGGAATCTACCCCACCACCACACGAAGCTGCCACATTAAATCCCTTCTGAAACAATCTTTCGAGCACCTGCAATGTGAAAAAGAGTATAGATTAATTGTAGCCAATTTGAGGTATTAGGGAATAGGATAAAAGCATCTTGAATCAGTGGATCTGAATGATGCATTTGGTCTTTCTAGATCGCATGGAATGAATATTACACAGCTATAATTTTATAACTTATTCTTAAATGACTATACTGTGATTAAAGTCTCGCTTACAGCAAACCTCTGTAGAAAACAAAAATTAATCAAACAAATAAGCACTAGACAAAGCAGTTCAGTACATTATATAGTAAAATACTGGATTGCAGTGATATTGATGCGCTCTCTTACAGGAAAACAACACTAGGTTTAAGTCATAATAACAAGTGCTCATAATTCATTATTAATATGGCAAGTCTCAAGGAAAAAGGGTTGCAAACACTGAGCCTTTCCTGAGCGCAAGTAAGTCTTTTGCGTATCTGAGTGACACCTCCCCGAGCCTTCTAGCTTGAATCACACCAACTCCTCCTCTTCTTGGAATTTAGTGCTGCTTTCAGAAACCATGACTGGGATGGGGAGACTAGATACAGGTGGGTAAGAAAACAGACTAGCCCAAACAAACAGAAAATTGTATTCTGCACATTTTTTTTTCTTTTAAATAAAACTTAGGGTAATTTGGATGCATGAGTTAAAGCAGCCCAGAGGCAGCTTTAATTTGCATGACTGACATGCTGCATATCACCCTTGGCTGGATGATAAGGGTCATGTTTTCACATGGATGAACTGTTGATGAACTATTTCCCCAACATATTAGGTGTGCATACAGGCTTTCAAGCAGCAGGTACAGCTGGATGCTAGTTTCATGTGCTTGTCTTCAACAGACATGGGTTTGAAACCAATAAAAGGAAACCTCAGTCACTCCAGCTGAAGGCTCAACTGAATAAAGGGCAGTAATGTACAAAATCGTCTGCTACACTCCTGTTTACTTTTATTATTCACACTCCAGTGCTACAGGGGGATCTCCACTGTTCTTTTCCTGATGAGGTTCAGTTCTGAGGGTCTGGCAATTGATTAATACTACTAGAGATAGGAACATTCAGTGAACACTCTCTTCCCAATATGCCTAGTGTGGGCTTTAGCAGCAGCTGAGTAGGCATCAGCAATGACAGTATGTATCAGCATAGGAAGAATAGACTTAAGGCAGGTTCCTTGAGCATCTTCCAAAAGGACTAGACACTTTCCATGTACACCCACTGCAGGTGCTGCGCAAGAATCTGGCCTTTGCTACATCTCACTGACTTCAGTGTGGAGACACAGGTGTAAGTGGAAGAATATATGCACGTTAAGGTTTCCCGACTAACAGTGCAAAGGGAATCTGCACGCCTGTATTTGAAATCTGCATCCAAACACTCTTCTAGCCAAACCTTTGTACTGCTACACTGTGAATATTCTTTAGACCAAGCACTATGCAGCCCAAGTGCCACAGAAATGGTCCATAGAGGAAAAAGCTAATCATTATCATCATCAACAATGCCCGTTGGTGTCCGATGCCTCCCTCTCTATTTCCTTACATCTTTCCCTGTCCAGTGCAGAGTGGCTCAGTTTCTGTAACTTTGGAAAGTCAGGCTAGTGTCTTTAGTTTGTTTAAATGAACTGACAATATTTATAGACAAAAAACATTGTTCCTGTCTATTTTGCTACCTATAAACACCAAGGGGACTGTGCCAGAGGCAGAACACTGAATCTGATTGGACAAGGATGTGAACTCAATGTAGTACATCCGCTAGATCAACTGTAGGAGCTTTCCTTTGAGATCTCTAGTATTAGCCACCAGCAGTTCAAATAGGTGAACTTTTGGACGGCAACTAAAGCCTTCTGCTCACTCGCCCAGTTTCTGAAGACTGGCAAAGAAAAGGAAACATTCATTGTAGCTAAGCTTTGCCTGACTCATGCTGTCTGCTCTGATTCAGCTTGCGCTGGGAGCTGCGTCTGGCCTTGGGACAAAGTGATTTGTGTTCTAATAAAGTTACATCTGCCAAATCTCACTGACTTTTGCCCTGATTTTTACAGAGTTTATGTATGTAAGGAAGTAGTACAATTCAAGGGAGGAAAATGCACCCTAGCATCTGAAAACAACAGGCAAGAAGTTAAAGCAAAGAGGGAGAATTTGGGGGTAAAAGTATAATAAAAAAAAGTAAGTCCTACCCCCTTATTCAACAACGGAGAGAGGGGGAAGCAAGGACACAAGCAGTCTAGAGACAAGAAGGGGATGCAGGACACAGTACTGTTTTGTCAGCATTTGTCCCTTCTAAGATGGAAGTGAGATGCTTGTATATTGATCAGGAGTTGCAGGAAAACCCACAGTCTGGGATCTGTTTTTTTAATAGGTATAGACTAGGCAAGGTGGACATTAGAACCACTTCTATAGCAAGTGCAGCATGACATAAGTGGGTTTCCATTTAACTGGAATGAGACTGATTGACACCCATACCAACACTGAGATTTGACCAATCTATTTACTACAAAGTTTAAAAAAAACAGTCAATATGCTTATAATGCAAAACTAGTGCTGAGATGCTGTTGGTATCTCATAGGTATGTCAAGCTGCATGTTAGCATAAGTCTCTTCTTTACTAAGCCAGCTATATAAAAACACACAAACCATACAGACGTTACATCTTTAAAACACTTCACATAGAACAAAGTGATTCATTTGTGCTACCTATGTGCTTGAAGGATGAGACTGCAGGCTGTAACCTAGTGTTAAAAACACAGGTCTCATCAATTTTCAGAGCAAGAAGCAAAATAGTTTGGGTGATATTTAAATATTGTACTGGCTCAACTATATCTTGCATTAGGTTATACTGAATGCGATAAGCAAAGGTCTACAGAATACCACCTCCGCTGCATGGCTACAATATCAATGTGTGCATATTGCACTCCTCTCTGTGTGTTACTCCTCGTGCACTCAGGAAGCTGAGTGTGCTTTTGCACATAGACAAGAGGAAGCTATATGTTGTAACTTGGGCCCACGTACATGTTATACTGCTTTAAAAAGTAAATCAGGAGACAGTGGCAAATACATGAACATAGCTATAGGATAAAATATGAGCTACTTTAAGTCTCCAAAGAAAACATGCCAAAAAGTAAATGAATTCATTATATATATATGTGTGTGTGTGTGTGTATATATATATATATGAAATAATGCAATTATATTAGGATTTAAGATATTCTCTCTGCCAGGTACTCCAAACACGTAGACACACAGGTTGTTATTTTGTTGGGAAGTTCTCCAGACAGAAATATGATTCCTTAATGCATTTCATTTACATTTTGTAAAGTGATATTAATATGGTCTTAGTTTTGAAATGTTCAACATATGCAATTTTCACAGCCTGTTTGCTGAATATTGATGTATTTTCCTAAGTCCTTTGTCAGGTTAAAAAAATAACTTAAATCATAGGAAAAATATATGCTCAAAATGCAAATACAAAAGGGAATTTTAAATTGAAGGCTGCTATTTTTTTTGGCCCACTAACATATTGACATTCTTTGTTTTACATATGCAGTTTCATATGAGTCCTTGCTATGAAACATCATTTCATGAAATAATTTGTACGAGTTCCAAAGAATTCATGAATGTTGCAATAATAAATGCTATACGTCAACCAGGAATGAGGAGGGAGATTACTCGAATGACCTAATGCTGAAAACAAAGTGTTTTATTATAGACCAGCAGTTACTCTTTGCTTTTTTGGGGTGATCTTCTCCTAGCAACTAGCCAACTATAACAACACCTTCAGATCTCTCCTAAGTATTTGTGTTTACAGTGCATTGTTGGGTTGGTCTTTAACTAGCATTGATCTTTCAGTGTTTTCATTTCTTTCATGCACCAAACCAGGGCATGTGGACATCATGCACCAAACCAGTTGTACTAACACCTTGAAAATTAATTCACCCAACTGAGAGAGACTGCAGACATCCTCTTCCTCAGCAGCATGGAACACTTGTTACAACTTGCTGGTCCCCAGCAAATTGCCCTGCTTCTGACCGACCCGAAGGTATTTCATTTTCTTTGGTCAGAATGTGACCCAATCCAATTTAAACCTCATTCAAACTAATCTGGAACTGTACAAAACTAGCCAAGGGCACTGAGCTCATCAGCTGAACTGAATGAAACATTTGGGAGTGTTTAGTGTGAAACCAAAATTTGCGGATCGATCTCTTTTTCAGACAGGTTTAATGCATAATGCATCAGTACCTTTAATTAAAGAGGAAACTCTTATTAATGTAAAATACAGATTATTAAAGCAAATCTGCATATATTATTACATGTCGGAATGTTTTCAGCATATTTAGTGCTCAGTGTTCTAGAAAAGGCACAGCAGTGGCAGCCCAACCTCTTTCACGCTGCTCCACTGATTTGCCTCTCCTCTGATGTCAAGAGATCACCTATAGGAGGCTAGAGCTCTGTAAAGTCTGGATGGCTGTTCCTCCCTGTCCTTTCTGATTAGACTGCTCAGAGTGCCAGCTGATTTGCGAATGAGTGTCCACTGAGAAATGTCCCCATATCTCAGTCGTTTCCCACAGTCCAGCCAACAAAACAGCTATAGATGTGAATAACTTGGGAACCGGTTACCTAGAGCAGTGGTGCACAACTCGTGGGTTGCAACCCCCAGGGGGGTCACGGATGTCTTCCTGGGAGGTTGCGGTGCTTAGATCCGGCCGGCCGGGGGCTGGGCCCGGCAGCTGGCGGCCCCCGCAGTGCGGGGGTTGCAGATCAGAAAATGTTGCACACCACTGACCTAGAGGTTGAAGGAATCATTTCTCCTAATAAAACCACCAGAGACAGACATCCTTTTTGCAAAATATTTTAAAGACATAAACTCAACATAAGAGAAGTTTGTTTTGCCTTGACTAATTAATGTTCTGTGTTAACAGCATAATCAGCACAATTCTTTCCACTCCGCACAAGGACTGCTACAACCCTCCACAGCACTGTCTACAGTTGTGTGTCATTCCTTGTGATGGACCATTTAGGCCCCTCAAGACAACTGCCTAAAGACCAGCCAGGTATTTATTCCTGCTTCCATCCACCAATCTGTCCAGTTCTTGTTCTTTGTTTCATATGTTTAATTTTAATCCTAATGTCAAAACTCAAAGTATAAAATGAAATACATTTTGTTTAAAATACTCTGGGCAATTTTTATAGAACATCCTTTTGAAAAAAAAAAGTGCAGAGATCAATTTTTTTAAGTCCATCCCGGAGGCACCATCATTTAATTATGAGTGAGACATAAATTATGCATTTACACATTGTTGCATTTTCTATAAAATGGCATGGAGATTTTTTTTGTAGTTTTTGGAACTCTCTCTTTCTTCCCAGGGGCACTTTGGAGGGAAAAAATGCTGTGGGCTATACATTGATGAAAAAATTAGCATTTATCAGTATAACACTATTATGAAACCAGCATGGCACTAACATACACAATCTAAATCTATTTTTCTGCTTAGACTTAGAAAAACCTGAAAGACTGTGATCTCACCGGGCAAAAAATAGGTAATTGAGCAGAAGCAAATAATCTGCATATAACGGAACATGAAATAAAAAAAGCTACAACATGAGACAACATTGCTTGAAAGGCCATTACCTGCACTGAATTCAACCGGCAGTATCCATTCAAAGGAAACCTAATGACATGGGTAGGGTCTTGGTTCCAACCTGCATTTACAGAGTTGCACATGACATCCCCAGTCTCAGGGAATATCTCTTCTATTAAAGCTTTCTCCCCACTCAGTGCAATTCTTTCCCCAAGATCTGGAGTCACTCTTACAACCAGGCAGTCACAAGGCTGGAAATGTTTCCTTTGTTCTTTCTCTTGTTTCCATCGCTCAAGTTCCTTAATCATTGGCTGCAGCTGGTAATACTTTGCTTCTTCATATAAAAGATTAAAGTCCTATAAAAAGAAAAAAAGAGAGAGAAGAAATGTGCATGGTTCTCTTTTTAAAATGAATATTGTTCCCCTGTGACCTACTTAGGTTCACGTATTGTCAGCAATAGCACAAAGTCAACAGGTAGCCCAACTGTCTTACTCTTCTACTATGTAACACCTACAAAGATAGCCACCCCGTGCTTGAGTGTTAAATCGCCTTGAAGAGTCTGTTCACTTCCCATTGTGCTGAATCATTCTTTCATGTTTATTACCCCACAAGATCAATGTCAAAAGGCTCTTCTTTTGGATTAAACAATCAAAATAACTGGTTGCAGAAAGCAGGGCCTGCTGATATCAGAGGAGGAGGACAGAGCCTTATTCTTATGCACAACTCCTGAAAGGATCCATATTTAACTTCATTGTTGCAACTCATACGACTGCTACCATGGAGAAAGAAGCCTGCCAGGTTTTCATTTTAAACTCCCAGTTTTAGTGGTTTTAAACTCAGCTGTGAAAACTCCCTGCAGGCTACATTTGCAGCACAGCAAGGAAATGGCCCAGCAGCCATTTTCTTACAAATAGAAAAAATGTGTTTAAAACACAGTTTGGGAGGCGGTACATTCCAACAACGCCACGAGCACACGCATGGCCACAAGCACGTGTGTACGCTGGTCGCTGAGCTGTTGTCTAAACAAATACTTTTTACCAGCCACTTGTCCATCGTGTGATTTGTTCCTCACAGTAATTAAAACACCTCAGTTCATTGAGAGAGGTGCTTTCAGCACATGCTTGCTAACTACTTGTCAGCAAACGTGTCCGATGGCCTTCTCCATCCCAAACTAAGGGCACTAGTGCGTGCTGAGGGGAAAGGTGCTGAGCAGTGTTCCCTGTGAGCTGTGTGGTTGTTAGAGATTCCAGGGCCACCCAGCTGACAAAATTATTCCATACATGGATGGAAAAGATTAGAATGAACACTGGTGCTGATAGCCCCCCAATGCTTAGGAAAGCAGTGGTGCTAACACAATTGCAGATGCCAGTCGGGATCCCTCCCTGGAGCATAAGACAATGGTGGAAGTCAGTGAGGGCATGTCTACACACTGATATTATTCCGAAATAACATGATCCGCGTCTACACTACAAGCCTTTACTTCAAAATTATGTCAAGTGGGAGGACTTCTTAGTCAGCCTCGTGGTAACCTTCATTTTAGGAGGAGTAAGGGAAGGAGTGCGTTCTTCCTTCAACTTCCTCCTGTGTAGACAGTGCCAAAGGCTAAAATAAGCTATTTTGACTTGAGCTACGCAACTGAAGTAGCTGAAGTTGCACAGCTTATTCTGACTTCAGCCATGCTGTGTAGCTGTACCCTGAGAGATGGGGCTTGTGCCTCCCCATGTCACAGATGACATTCAGTCACCAGCAAAGCTGCTTTAGCAAAGCTAAATCAACAGCAAAGATTTAGAGATGCTGACAAGAAATAACTACAAACAACTCTTGGACTTTCATGTGAAAAATCATTGTTAAACCAACCTTCAAAACAGTCCCATGTATGGGGTTACACCCAGTTTAAAAATGGATAGGCTGCTGCCAGCTAGCATGTGGAAACAAAACCCTAGAGTTCTTTGCTCTGACCACCAGAAAATACTCTTTTACTAGAGGCATGAATCATCACGAGAATGAAACTATAGGGGGCAGAAAGGAGTTGAGTATGAAGAGGCAAAATTAAGGGATATGCAACAAAAATGAGCACAGTGAAAGCCATTTGATGCCTTCTATGGATCCACCGCACAGGGGAAAAGGAACTAATAGGGGAATGAAAAGCAAAGAGTTTAGCAATGTCCACAACGGATTTGACTGTTAGGGACAGATTTGGAACTACAACTCAGCTGCCTTCAATGGAGGCCTGTGGATGTATGGATCGGCAACTGAACAGTTACCCTTGTAATTTCCTAACTTTGCTAGTGTATCTCCAATCCCTGGCTTCTGGCAGAAGCTTGTTGAGGTTGGGGAGCATGCACTGGCCAGATGACTTGTGGGGGGTGAGTTTGCTTTGCCTTCTTTTATAGCATCAGGCAGAGGCCACCAACAAATGGATATGAAGCAAATGGAACCATCACAGTCCCTATGCAAGGAAGTGAGCCTTCAAAGGGCACAGGGGGCCTTGCTCCTTGGGCTGGAACCACTCCAGCCCCCACCATCCAATATGGCAGTCAAGGATGTTAAGCATCTTAGAGGAATGGATCCTAAGGGAGACTAAAGATAAAAGAAGACGTGTAATGGCAGATACTGCCCCACATCAGTGTCAAACAAGAAGTGCTGCAGAGAAAACTGGATTCATGGATGGGCATATGGTAGGAGTGTATAGGATGAGCTGACCCGGGGTGAAAAGACAGTGATGTCGGCACCTTACTTCTAAACACCATGATCCTTACTATGCATCACTGGATTTAATTCCATTGTGATACATTCCTGAAATGAACCTGGATGATGAATTATTTTATTCAGAAGCATATTCCTCTTTTGAGTCACCGTCATTTCTGCCTTTCCACATTTGCAGAATTCCCTGAACATTAATTTGAAATGCACAAGAGATCAATCAGGCTGAATCTACAGGGACTAATGATCTGCATGTAAAACACTCTGAAATCTTTTTCACATGGGAGTCTGTAACAACTCTGTCCACTAGGCCAATACTAGTATTTCACTGATGTGAACAGGGCCCTATCCAATGCTCACTGAATTTCACAGAAAGTCTCTCAGTTGCTTCAATTGCTCCTGACTTTTGGTCATGTTCAACATGAAAGAATACACTATTTATTAGGGTAAAGCAGGAATTTATGTTTGTATGTGAGCCTGAAATAACATCCAAAAGATGAAAACCCAACATGAGCTTAGTTATCAGAAATAGCAAGGCTACAGAACTGTATAAATCTGTCCTTCATTCTGAAATGAATGTAGGTCTCACATTCAGATAAGGCCTGATTCAATTGAATGGGAGTCTTTCCACATCAACAGGTTTTGGACCAGGCCCATAATATTCAGAAGTGCAACAGTCCCTTGCTACAACCTCCAGGGAAATACTAACATTACAGAGCCAACAAACCTCTGCGATTGTGCTATCTCCTCTAGAGCCATCTGTTAGCCTATGGCATTAGATTTAAGTCTTTAGTAACCACTTGCTAAATCACCATTTGTTCTAACTACTGCTTAATAAGGAAAAAATTAACAAGATATAGTTTCTATCTTCCAATTTTCTGTGATCAACCAAAAAACAAACAAAAACAAAAAAGCAACCCCAGAAACCAGTGTTCAGAGTCAAATGACTCCATTTTTGTATCCACAGTGATCAACCCATTCCAAAAATTGCACACACAACATGAGTTATTAAAACAAAAGTTAACGTGAGTTATGAATACACATAAACAGACATGCACATGTACACCAGTTTCAACTTCTTGTTTTTTTGTACCAAGTCAAAATTGTTTAAATATTTAAAAACTACAACCACCCCCAAAATAGGAGACCACGTCACCCCCCAATTACTAACTCTGGCTAGAATATTACATGGCACCATTTATTCCGAAGTATATGTTTACTAGTAGTTTACTGCATACACCTACACAAAGCAATTTGTAACAAATGTTCAGAATCCTTCAATGCGCTTAATACAGCAAATGTAGTGTTGGGGGTAATCTATGCAGGCAGCTCCTTCTGCCAGTGATCCCATAAGTGACAGTGAAGGGAGTGTTCTGTCTGTCATTCTCCAAAGAAATATGGGCAATAAAATGTCTTTTTTTAAAACGGAGAATGTAGTACACTGTCTGACTGACAGCCCATGAGAGCGACATCCTCTATTAATTCACAGCACAGCAGCAGTGCAAGTTTCCCCATATTGCCTCATGTATTCATCACCACCATGTGCTGTTCCAAAGGCTGGAACAAATACCAGCTTTGCACTTGGTCTTGCTCCCGTAACTTAAAACCTAGTGACTGTTTTATAGCTGATACCATGATACCATGTCTGTGATTGGCAAATTGTCTAGTCAACCGTGCATCACTGAGGAATTTTAATAATTTTTTGGGGTGGGGCAGGATAGGGGAGATGTTCAACAAACGCAGTAACAAAGAAAACACACCACTACAGGCACCAGGATTTGATTCTCCACTGCCCTGCTCCTTGTGTAGTGCAAAGAGGGTGTAAAATGCTATACTTCAGATCTATGAGCGTTTTACTCTCACATTATCTAGGGACATCCACTGTACACAGAGCACAAGACAGGGCAGAAGCCAGCCCAGACTGCATTAGCACAACATCTGACAGTTCCACAGAGAGGACAAGAAAATTGCAGTTTATCTTGCCAGTGTCATATCACAGGACAAGCAGAATATTAAAGAAGCCTGTCGTTTACAAATGTGTGTTTGTATCAGACTGGAAATAAGGTGTAAAGTTTTAACGGCAAGGGTATTGAACCATTGCAACAACTCACTAAGCGGTGCACTCTCCTTGGCTGACAGTTTTTAAATCAAGAATGGATGTTTTTCTAAAGCAGGAGTTGGCAATAATTTTCGCAAAGGGGCCACTTAATGAATTTTGCTATGTGGGCATAGGATGGCTTCCCCCCAAAAGGAGCAGGGCCTGGGGAAAAAGGGGCGGGGATGGTGACTAGACTCCCTCTAGAGTAGTCTGGGTCTGGAGGCTTTGAATTAAAAACATAGCAAAGGGCTCGCAGCTCCTGGCCTCACCACTACCATGTAGCCTGGCAGCCGCCTGGGGTTGCTGCGGCTATTAAAAGGGTTCGTGGCTCTGGCCTCTGCCCAAGTAGCACAGCGACTGTGAGCCATTTAAATAGGATCCTGATGCCTGAGCCGCTGCCTAGAAATTTGGTGGCACAGACAGCAGGCTATAAATAGAAAGTGACCAGATACAGTCCGCAAGCCGGATCAAAGTGTTAGGCGGGTCAGATCCGGCCCCTGGGCCACACCTGGCCCACCCCTTTGGGGGCAATTCTGACCTGCGCTATACAAGAGG